CATCCAGAGATCTGAAAGTGCTTCTCAAACAGCAATTAATTACCTTGCACATCCCTCCTGCAAGGTGCGCGCATGTAAGAAAAGGAGCAGCCACAGGGGAGTTACAAGTAGTGCTGGGAGGCAGCACAGCCCCATCCTCCTCTCCCTGCCTCCACACAGACCTGGGCTGGGTGTCTGCACATAACCCAGTTTGTAGGTGATGGAAACAGTCAGTGGGAGATTACATACCATGAAACATACCTGTGCGAAAGCCCCAAGAAGGTCATGATGTATTGGGGATGCAACAGCAATTAAAAAGAATAAGTCTGTGTTTAGTCTGTGTTTAGACTTTCTTGATGCTTCCTTTGAGGAGTGTGAAAATGATAGTTTGTATTTCTACAAGCACAAGCCTCCACTCTCAGTCTCCCCACCTCTAAGGTTTTAATTAATTTGCTTTCTTTTTGCTTTTTTAATTTCTTTTTTAATTTCTTTCAACTATTTGCTTTCTCTTTCTTGGAAATGGTGAGTTCCTGAGAAGCCGATGCATCCATGTGCCAAATTTTGGTGTGCAAACTTTGCACCTATGCCCTAGCGGAAAGAGGAGGAAGGGACAGACATAGTAGCTCTTCAGAAAGAATTGGTACTTGCCAAACAGTACAAAAGACAGCAGGAAAAGCATAACAAAGCCATGGAAAACAGTAGAGGAGGCAGGGCAAGGAGAGAGGAGTGTCACAAGATACCCAAGCTGCTCTAACAGACACCGTGGACTAAAGAGTGGGTCTGTCCTCCACTTTCTGCTCGGCAGTACGGCCCAATCCTCCTGCTTTGCACAGGGCCTGGCRCTCGTCTCACCTCTCCAAGAGCCAGTTCAGCTCTCGGAGGCAGCRAAACCAACCTCTCGTTTCGTTGTGTCGGGTTGCAGCAGCGGCGACTGCTTGAGGAGCTGGGCTGATTTATGGAATGGTATCCTTAAACATTTCTCGGGGTATTTCCTCCTGAGGAGAGGACTTAATTTGAAGTTGTCACTCCTAATTATAACACTTACAGTCATAACTGGAAGGGATAGGATTATTCTACAGTCCATGGCTTTTCGGCTAATTCTGCAAAAATGAAAACCAGGTTTTCATCCGCTTTCTCCCTAGCTCCCATTCTCTTTCTCCGGCCTCCTGAGATACATCTAGCTAATGCAAGATAATCACCAGTTGTCGAGATAATTGTCAATTGTCAGGTATGCGCTCAGGATAATTTTTAACTATCTTTTCAGCCTTTGCCGTTGCTCTGCATGCATACAGATGTTTACTAAATTGCACATAATGTCTCTTTTCTGTGTGCCATCATACAGTGCGCGATGCAGGTGTGGGAAGGCRTTTCAGGCTGTTTCCTCCTCAGGCTGCAGCACAGCTCACAGTTCTTACCTTGCACGTGTCTCCCCGAGCACCCGTGCTGATCAGCTGCACAACGTGGCTCTCGACTCGCACTGGGACTGGGTGGCAGGCGGGGGGCAAGAGGCCCCCAAATGCTGCACTGTGGACACTACATTTCATTTTGCATCACAGCAAAGACAGGACATGCAGAGTCCAGCCCCTGCAGGTGCTCCCGTCGGCTGGTTCTTGATTTCCTCCAGACTCCCCCTTTCATAAGGCGGTTTACATGGGCAGAGAGGGGTCTGTGGCTCACCCTCTGTTATGAAATTCAAATGGCAGCCCTTTGCCTTAGGTGCTGCTTCTGCCTTTCCTCTCTGCTTCTTTCATTTCTCCTCCCTGCTGCTACACTGCAGTGAATAATGCATTTGTGTGTGTGTGAATATCCACGGATTAGGCTTCCAATTAATTCAAGTCAATTTTACAGACTCTGTCAATTCAGGTTGCTAAAATTCTCTTGGAATTATTGGAGCAGCAYGAGGGATTTTTTCCCCATTTTTTTTCCAGATTAACTAGAAAAATTATTTGGAAAGAAATTAGTCATTTTTGCACATGAATATATACCATCAGCATGTGCAGGATGAGTTTCAGTCTAAACTGAAAGCACAAATTATAMTCCCTTCCTTTCTAAAAGGCCCAAACATAGTTTCACACCAACTGACAGTGGTAGTAATTAATGTGAAGGTTCCCTGGGGTCTTTTAACCTCTTTTCTTAGCTTTTGATGGCTGAGACAGCCACAACCTGTGTGCCATTTAACCATCTATAAAACTGAGGGGGGAAAAGCAGTTAAACATGACATTGGGCTTTCTTTAAACTCCATAATGAGCCCTAGATAAAGCAGAGAGGCTTTCACTGAGATTTTAAGCAACACTTTTCCCCCCTCTGTTGTTCTCCCAGGCGCAGAGTATTTCTTTCTCCTTGAGATGGATGCGTTCAAGAACAGCTCTAACAAAACCCTAGAGCCTTGTTCGGGTCAAAGGGGAGCTCATGCTAAAGATGGGCTCTATGACTATTTTACCCCCTTCACCAGCTTGGTGCTGTTTACCACRTCCCTATTCATATGTAAACTTGGGGCAAGGGCTTTTCCCTCAGTTTTCAGGTGGTTTGCCACGCCAGGGTAATTCAGAATTATTAGCTCCCACAGACTGTGCAACTTGATGACACTTTAGTTAGAGCAAGCCATTCCTGAAAGAGGTRCTGAGAACTAGTGRCTAAACTGGGGTTGGAAATAAAATTTTGCCACTAACTGGTGATACTGGACAACTCAGTCAGCCTTCTTAAATCCAGATTCTTAGGCAGTACATCAGAAAGAAAATGTCCCCTCTTCCAGCAAAGCACTTTAGTAACCCCTAAAGATACTGAGATATACAGTAAAGATACTTTACCGCCTGCTAGAGGGGTGCTAAAATATTAAAGGATCTAGAAGAATTTGCTTTTAGTTTTGATTTCTTGATGAAGAATTTCAAATTACTAGCCTAGAACCAGACTAGATCTTAAATCATCTCATATATTTTATGGTATAGTACATAACAACCTCCCCAAAATATGKGCATTAAAAATACTCTGCAGTTGGAAAATGCCCCATTCCTAAGCCTGAAGAGAGGAGCGAGGGCTGCCTGCGTGAGCCCTTTCCCAGGCAGATGGTGTAGCTGGTGGCTGAGCACCACCCTCCATCCCGCCCTGCCCCACGGGGCGGCCTGCKCTGCGGCGGGTTTCTGCTTCGGGCCGACCCTTTACCTTAACCTGCCGAGCGAGACGGACCGCGGCGGCCCAGCCACGCGTCCGTACTGCAGGATACGCAGTACCTGCAAACGGCAGGAAGACATGGCATGAATGACACCAAGAGGGTGATGTTTTAATTTCCCACGGCTAAATCCACCTAGGCTCACGTAGCAGAGTCCTGCCTCTCATTTCAGCTACCCATGCAGGGCCACGAGGCCTCATTCCACCAGATTCTCCTTGCCAAAAAGTGAGTCAACTGGCTCCGATGTAGCCAGAACTACATCAAAACAGTATGGGCCTCCATTGCTTTTTTTTATTTCTTTATTTTCCACCCCCCCTGCATTTTGTCTTGTGTCCAAAATTCTTGGTTTGGGCTGGAACCAGCAGCAGAGCATAAAAGCAACTATGCTCTAAGCTCTATTCATTTTTTATATAATGACTTAATTTACAGAAACTGATCTACAGAGAATTTTAATGCAACCTCATCCTACAGGAGAACAGAATTTAAGATCCTGTGTCTGAAGCAAATTAAAAATATAGGAAACAGCAGGTGAATAAATTGATTTTCCCATTTTGTGGTTTAGAACAAAAAGAACAGTAAAAAATGGCACAAAAATATTGCTGGATTTTTGACAGATTTAAAAAGAAAACAGTGAGTTATGTCTATCTACCCAAAGGAAAAAGTTTTGAATCAATCTGAAAATTTTCCATCTATAAAATAAAATATTCTGATATGTTAAAAAGTATCCTACATCTGCCTCTAAATTTTGGCTGAAACAAACCTCTCTATTTCCCCAAATCTTCRGGGAATTTCAGTCAATGGAAACTTACTTTCTTTTCATTGAAATCCTGTTAGTTGGAAAATTTTCATCAAGTTCTATATCGTAGTCCTCCTTTTTAACGTCAGTGCAACTATTTCTATGTATTAAGTAACACAAGCCATTTATTATTTCAGTTCTACAGTAAGTGATCTGCACTTTCAAAAATAACTGGTGTTTTAATTGTCTAATTTAATATCCCTGAAATCAACCTACCTTCCAAAAAACTTTCCCAATGGAAAAAAAGAAACCTCCTGAGCTCTGCCTAAATCTCTGCTTGGGTTTGCAGCAGTGGGGCAGCTCTGAAGGGGACACCCAGTTGCCACACACATTAGTCTGACTTAGAGGGATTTGTTCCATGAAACCTGGACTTGGGAGAATTCTGCTGTTCTGGCTTCAGGTTTGTACCAATTTATGGGGACACAGGGGTTGGAAAAAATAGCTGATCCGTTAAGCCATGTCATACTACTTTCCTGATGTGGAAATTTGGTCTTGGAAGTACGTGCATAGAGTAGAAGCCTCCTCATCTTCAGTTATTCAGTGGAAGTTCTTCAGTTATTTGAGCTGTCTCTATTGCACTGATTTATTTGCTAATGTAGACATAGCATAAGACATTTTGTAGTGAACATTACAAAATACTAACAAATAGCAAGCAGTTCTTGAAATTAAAAGCAATAAAAAAGCAATATGTAAGATGAATGGAAAGACAGCAGGAAAAGTACAACAGCGAGCTCAGGAAATTATTGAACTTAAATTTTTTTCATAGTGGTTTCTTGGTCAGGACAGATTTATACCTAAATTCTTGGTGTACTGGAAGAGAAGGTGATCTCTTGTGCTTGGACAAAGACACACATATCCTGGTCACACTTTTAGATAACATTAGATAAACCTCCACAGAGAAACACTTTGCAACAAACTAATTTCACAAGCATTTTACCAGGACAGAGACTGCAATATCAAACCCTGTATCTGTGAGGCAGAAAATGCCAGCACTGTAACGGTAAAACTCAAAAGTACTATTTTTCTATAAACACTCTTTTATAGGTTAATGCACTGTGAATTCAGCTTAGTATTTTTAATATGAACTCACACAGTAAGTGTCTTGGCCTAGAGAGAAACATGAGGTCATATGTAAACTATTCATTGCAAATCCACTAATTGAAAAGTTACCAAAATCCTTTGGAGCCAAATTATAAGGATGTGAGCATTTCTTTAAGCAAAGAAGGGTAAAGATGAAAAGACGTCGTCTTTCAGCTCCATACCCAAATGCAACCATCACAGTCAAGTCTACCACAGAAGAAAGATTTTTTTAAAGACATTAAAGAGGTTCTCAGAAGTCTGCAAAATTATCAGCTAGCATACTGACATAATGCTGAGATCAAATGAAAGAGACATCATAGAAATCTTAGCTACATCCAGAATTTTCTGTCTGGATATAATGAAGGTCCTGCTATAATACAAGCCCAGGCTGACACTTACAGGTGGATTGCTCTGTGCACAAGGAACCCCATGGACATCAAGGGCAAGCAGAGAAAGCGCAGCATAGGGAAAGCCATCCCTGGCACCTGAGCCATGCAAAGAGAAGGATTATTGTTCATCATATTGTTCATCATATTGTTCATCATATTGTTCGTGTTTTACAACATGCAAAAATTGATTGGAAGAGGAAAAGTTGCCACCTGAAGATGCAGACATCTCTAGTTTTCCAGTAAATGGGGCTGTGGAACAAAGGCATGAAGCCACATTAAAGCTGAAAACCCACAGCAGTTTTTTTTATTTCTCTGCTTTTGTCTCTGACAAAGCGTAGCAGCCACAAATTCCAGCCAAGCATTCATTCCTGTAGAAATTTCCCATTTTGCTTTCTCAGAACCAAACCAGGAGTATTGATCTCACAGTGAATGTGTGTGCATGTATACACACACAGATATATCAATGAAAATCAAGCTAATTCTAGCTAACGTTGTAGTGAGCAAAAGGCATCTGCTTCAGCATCAAATTCATTGCTAGCACTATCTACACTTCTTATGTATATAGACTGCATATGAACTAACATGTTACCTTTTTAATTTTTTGATATTATAAACAAAGAAACAGAGAGAAGTTACTCAAAGTGGAACAGGCCTTCTTTTTAAAGCTTATTCTTTTTCTTTGAAAAATATAAGGGTTGTCTCATAGTTAGATAAAAAGCTGCCTAAGCTATTAATGGGCAATTTTGGGGAGGAAAAGTCAAGCACTTAGCCCTTCAAGGTGCCCTAGCTCCTTGCAAAGAGAATAGTACGAGATACAAATCAAACTTAAGTACTATTTTAAGAAAGTCAGTATGAAACAAGCTTGTTATAGTCTCGTACATTGGGGTAAGCTTCCTCCAGAGCCTTAAGCTRCTTGGGAAGACAAATCCTCAAGTATTAAAAAAAGACTTTTTAGTATAAAAGACAATGTACAAAAATACCATAGAAAGTAGCAAAAGTCTCCCTGCCTCCAGGTTTGATTCAACTGAGTTCAATGTTCAACTTTCTCAGATGGATGCCATTGATTCACCCACTATCTAGTTAATAGCCCCCCACAAAATTTTCCATATTCCAACGTTTAATACAACTCTTAATTCCCTAGTAAGCTGATAGGTCTGCAGAGGCAAACCCACAGGCCCACTGATTTTTCTAGAAGGATAAGATCATAGTTCAATATCAGGCAATCATACCATTTGTATATTGACCTCTACAGATATATTGTGCTGTTTTAAATAGAAGCCAGCCTTTGCTCCTGCCAAGCCTTATAAAACATGAAAATGCAAGTGTCTCAGCCCAAAAGCCAAAGAGATGTGCAGAATTATATCTCCTCCACAAAAAAAAAAAAAAAAAAAAAAAGATCCCTGAATTAATGACATTTGCAGTCATGAATTTCAGGCCAAAAGTCTTTATGGCTTCCTCTGAAGAGTCATGTCACCTTCCAGAGGCCCATAATTCTCCAAGTGCAATAAAATTTTGCTTGGCAGAGCCAGAATGAGAATTTCAGCTAAAGCTTTAATATTAGCTACCAGAAACTTGGGTCTTTTCCTAAGCATTTATGAAAACATGAGCAAGTGCTCTTGAGAATATTCCAAGTTCAAGTTTATTTACTTTACTGATTAGAATTAGGTGTGCAGAGAATGGCTCTTGCACGAAAGGGGTAGGGGCCTGGTGTTATAAAGCAAACCAGCTTTTTAGCATTTACAGATCAAACACAAGGGCTGAATCCCTAACAAGCCGCTCAGAATTCCAAGGGGTTTGGGAAGCCTGTAACATTCCAGACCTCCAGCTCATTCTCTCACCTTGAGTAATTGATCCATACTAAACTACGAAGACTTGGATTGCTGTAAATACTCTTTGTTCTTGACAAGGTGCAATATATTAATTAAGGATTCCAGGCTTTTCATATTAAGAAATAACAGTAAACTTCTGAGATTTCAAAGCTTATCATTCCATTTTGCGCACGATGGGGCACACCAGATTTGGAGGTTGGGTAATGTTGTTTTGGGAAACATATGTAACCAGTCCCAGTCAGAGTGAGCGCTCCTTCCTGGAAACAATTTAATACCTAGCATTTGGGGGCAGACTGCTTAATTAACRAACACCAGAGGAGAAATGGCCTTGTAAAGAAGCTGCTAGCAGATCATAGAAGCCCTTAGGAATTTTCCAGAAGCTGACTTGAAAAAGGCCAACCTGTTGTGCATTTCACTTAYTTCTAATCTTTGAGAAAAGTGTGTCCTTCTGTTACAATGATATGACTTCCTAATTCCAAAATGCACATATTTCATACAACACATCAGGCAGTCACCTTAGGGAGGTGCTATGTGTTCCAGACATAGTATGAATAAATTATTGCATGTGGTTGCTGTGGTAACATCTAATTTGTTATTGTATAACAGAATTACTCGTGTTTAAATAGCTGCAAACTTTTCTTGAGGCTGTTATAAAAACCTACCTTTTTACTTTTTAAATTGAATATTTATGTGTGTGTGGTATGTATGGAATAGAAGTAATGCTTTTCCACCTTAAAACTACCTTTCTTACTGTTACATACCCTTGGGCTCTTATCATGGAAAGCATMTCTGCATGCAAAAGTAATGGCAGCCCTTCCTGCTCTGGAACAAARGTCTTCTAGTATTAGCAACTCTCCTTTTAGGCACCAGCTTCATAAAACAGCCAATGGGAGTTTTTAAAATACCACTTCACTGGTTTGTATTATCCATTAGAAACAACATATGAAACAATATGGGAGAATTATCCTCTTCATTCCAGTTCTGATGAAAAGAATACAAAAATAAAACCAGAACAATTCAACAATCATAGTAAGTGGAATGAATAGTCACATACTTACCACTCAGTCTGTGAATAAGACTTCTTTTAAACAGTTGCTTCATGGTTGAAAATATACACTAATAGATAAAACTTCTTTAAAATGCATATCCACCTCCCCAAAGGAAAACCTTTAAACTTGTTTCTTTCAATGCTTTTTAACAGAAAAAAACCAAAACCGAGAAAATGTGTTCATCAAATTTAACAAATAAAAAAGAACCTAATTCTAATCCAGCGACAATCTCAGAGCCTAACAATGGCGCGAAGCATCCATAATTCTATTTAACCCTGCCTGATGTGAAGGTTTTATTTTGTGATCATTTTAGTGCATAAACCCTGATGAATAATGGAATTGCAGAGAAAGGACCCCTACGGACTGGAGCTTCATTGACATCTGACTGGTAGCCTAAAAGCCTGCGGCGAGGGTCCCAGCGACGCATCGCGGCCTCCCAGCAGGTCGTTAAGGCAGCGGCCAATTAGGAAGCCAGGCTGCAGCACGACATTGTTCACAGCAGAGCAAACATAATTGATTTTTATTTCCACAGAGGGGAGAACCTCCTTACTAAAGGGCTTTAGCATAATTTCTTATTTAGGAAAGGTTTAAGGAGATTTGTGCTGGAGTATTTAATTCCAAGCCCTGGGACAGTCTCTGGCAATGTGTATAAATTAAGGGGCAGTTGACTTCACTCATTCATATTCAAACTAGAGACTCACTTGTTGCTCAAAAGTAGCATGAAGATTTCTGAGCGATGGCATCCAACACCAGCTGTGCAGGGGCACTGAGCTTGCGCTCCCGCCAACTTTAAAGGGTTTATGGAGTTATTAGCAAGCCAGCCTCCTGCTTTAAGGCTTCTTTCCTATGCATCTCACCATGCTAACGTACCACATGTCTGTARTGAGCTCCTTAAGATCACTGTGCAGGTGGAACTTGCTCCAAAGACACCTGTATCATCAGCAAGCTCTTTCTCATTTCATTGTCTCCCAACAGGTTATTTTTGATCCCACCGTACATGGGCAGGAATGTTCAGTGACAGCCAGACCACAGCAGGAAGATTTCCTGATAAAGGAAATGTGGATTTGCCCAGCTCACAACAGCATCACAGGAACATGGTGGAAATTGTCAGCCCTGTTACTCCTTAAGCAAATAACTTTTCAGAGAAGCTTTTGCTGTAGTCTGTGCCTTTAAGGTCCTGTGGTGAGCAGATAGCTGGAAAATGCTATAAAATCCTCACTTTTTACAGGACCCAAAGCAATRCAGCAAAAAAAAATATTGGACGTATTTGTAGATTACTATCTCCAAATTATGCCTACAGTAGACTTGACAAATTAAATTTTCCTATATTCCTTTTATTTCAGCGTGCCAAGTGAATCATTTCTTTAAAAAAATAAAAATAAAAGGAATTCTCAGCTGCAAAGGCATCAGTCCAAGCAGTGAACTTCAGATGCTGGGTCTATACCTAAGAATCATGTGATTTAGCTGTCTCAAATTTTCTGGTTTCCTTCATGTTTCAAAAAAAAGAAAAATCTTAGTTAAAGAAATAGAGAAAAAAATTACCTTCCACTTCCATTTCAAAGTCAGCCAGTAAGATGATGACAATTTTATTCCCTGAGGTTGCTCACAGGTCTGTTTCTCTGCCTTGGTTAAGTACTTGCCTGAAATGCAAAGATACAGTGTAAATATTTTTTAATAGACCATTATATAATTACAAAGTCAGATAAATCTTAAATTAGCAGCAGCGAGGGCAGTTTAACGATCATCTGTTTTTCCACGGCACCGGTTGGTGCCCCTTAACAGTAGTCACAAAGCCAACACGTATCAAAGAAGGAACTTCTATCCCTTACAGCTTCTCCTTTGTAAAATTTATGCCCACGATTGTCAACTAGCAGTTGATAGGATTCTTGAAATTCATACATATTTAACCTCCTATCACACACAAGTGATTTATTTATTACAGAAGTCATCAGAGGAGGAAGCGTGGTCATCTTGCTTGGTTACTACTACAGACTCCCCACCCATACCCTAAACTCTTTCAATCTCAGTGATTTCTGGAAACCTGTCTCTGCTCACAGAGCAACTCCTATCAGAGAATCAGCTAAAAAAAACCCCTGCAAATCTGCCAGGAAACAGCTAAGCTGGATCCAAGAAGCATCCAAAAATGGTGCAGAATTAAGCAGATCCCTGTTCTGAAAATGTATCCGAGTCAACRGTTCTCAACTCTTCTCAGTTTGTGGATGTTTATATGTTTTTAGCTGTAACAAAGATCCCATATTATATAATAATGTTTGGGKTTTTTTTGTGTTTGCATGTGTTGTTTCTCTCTCACGTGCCCTTTGAAAGTAGCTATCAACAATTAGCGGTTTGTAGCCCAAAGCCCAGCAGCTGTTAGTCAGCTGATACACTTAGATGTATGGAAAGTGAGTGCACATTGCTGAAGTATGTCAGGAGAGCATGGTATAGAAGCATAAGCTGTTGGAGTTGTCCCCTGTACATGTTCCTTTAGTCTGCATCAGCCACAYAACTTCAGGGATGCACTGTGCAATAGGAAAGCCAGGAGAAGTGGAAGAAAAATCAGCCACCAAAAGCCAGACACAGGTACAGGAAAACACCCTTCCGAGCCTCAGGAAGCCTAAGTGGAATGGTTTACATCTGGAATTAATAGCTCTCTTGACTGAATGAAAATAGGCAATGCTTAGGTTTACATGCAAGGTTAGAGTGTTTTCAGTTGTAATGAGGAAAGAAAGTGTAAAGTATATTGGGCATGGCCATGCTCTCATGCAGGTGTGTACTGCGTGGGCTGGAGAAAACAGGCTAATTTTGGAACTTTCACCTTGTTAAATGTTTCTGGAGTTTCACTTTGTAATAGAAGACTTGCTGATATTACAGCCCTTGAACATTCCTCGCCAATGAGAAAACAGAGGGAAATGGGTCTGAGAACTCAGTGCTTGAAATGATAACTATAAATTATAGTGTAACTTCAAACCTCCTAAAATGTATATTTTACTGGAGGATATACAGCAAAGCTGTGTTTTTCTCTAAGGAAGAAATGTTGTCACTGACTGCAAGAAATCCATATGCTGGCACTTAAGTTCACAAACAACCACTATTTAATCCATAAAAAACCTTCTGTGATATTCAGTAAATTATGTGTCACTGAATTCTTAAAAAGAAATCTTGGAGAAATGTTCTAATTCTCTGACTTTGCATGATACCTCATATATTAGTCAATCTTGTTTAACCTTTTTTCACTCATATGTTACCCTGAATGAACATATTTTAATTACATGTACTTTATTTAGTGATTTTATTGCTATCTCTATTTATTAAGAGATTGTTTAATGGAAAGAAAGGAAGGACCACCAAGAATCACTTGGACATAAGAAGTGTCTAAGAATTTTTGACCACAAAACCAGCAAATTTCTGAATGAAGAGAATTCCTCCCGAAAGTTCATCAACAGAGGCCCTTGCTTTAGCACCTCAAGAGCAAAGGGGCTGGGGTAGAAAGCCAGAACCAGAGAAGAGAGCCCTATTACACTCATTCAGGAGGCCATAAATTGGCTCCATGTTCATATACTTGATTTAAATTTGGATTTTTTTTTTCTGAAATAGACAAAACAATCCACATAGCTTCAAATCAAAGGCAATTTAGTCCATGTGAAAAATACCGACAGTGTTAACTGCTTTCTGAGAGACTTTTTGATCTAAATCTGTCCTAGGGGACCCAAACTCTCAATCCATTTTTCTTCTCTGGAAATCAGAGTAGCATCACGGCCCAAGATGTTTTTACATCAGATACCACATAGMAGCAGAACAAAAAGAGATTTTGATTTAAAGAACAGGAGATACAGAAAATATCTCCTCAGCAGAGCCTTGGCCTTCCTTCAGAATACCCATGAAGAAATATCAAAACACTCTAGCAAGAAAAGTGACATGAAGAATGAATGTCAACAGGTTGTGTGCTTAGTCAGGGATTCTGGAYGAAAAAGCTCGTGAGAAAAATCATTGTCACTGCCAAACCTTTCGTCTTCTCCACTGTATTTTTCCCTAGCAATGAGACTCACATGAATTTACTGGGAACTTGGGAAGTGGCCTTCTTTTTTTGTTGTTGTTCCTTTGAAAGTTGCTCTAATAGCAAACCATGCCACCTTTGATTGTTTCAAAACTTTAATAACTTTGAATGAATAGAAGCAGGAAATTCTGAGCTGGAAAGAAGTGTTGTTTCACAGCTGCTAACTCCCTCATGTAACTGCTGTAACCTCCTCAACTGTCCGCCTGGCRCTCAAATTAGAAACTGGTATTTACATATGAAGAAATTAGGTTTAATGAAACAAATACAATCGTATATTAGGTGAGGAAAACAACTACATTCTCCTTTCAAAACACAACAGARCCATATTTGAGTGAATACATTTTATAATAAAACTCCATTATAAAGGTAAATTCAGTAACCTGGTTGTCTGACCTCACCTTTGTCAGGGTTTTGAAGCAATCTGTATTCAGAGACATTCACAGTCCAGCCAAGGCTTCTTCAGYGCATATCTAGCAGCTTTGGCAAACAGGTTATTTCCCACACGAGCTTCTCCTGAGGTGAAGCAGAAAACAGAAGAGGTCAATATTCTGTATATGAGGGGTGCTCTGTAGCATTACTAATACTGGAACAAACTGAAGCACAGCAAGTTTAGTCACTTTGAAGAGGTCAGAAGTCTGCCCATAATTTTCACCATCTGTGACTCAATGTTTTGAGTTCAAGTGTTTATCAGGCTTTGTAATGGTTGTCTTCACAGACACCAATAAAAAGAAATTTTAAGGTTCAGWCACCTCTACAGTGCTTCTGATTACAACCTTAGCACACACTGCTCACACTTTACGTATTTAGACACACACAATGTCTGGCAGTTTTGCACCACACAAGAAACTGCAAACTGGTAGACTACTTAATTCTACATGAAAAGACAGCACACAAAAATAGGATCTAATCAYGCAATGAAAAGAAAAAAAGTGGAAGTATATATATGTATTTTAATTTAGCATTGTATAAGGAAAGCAGAAGTGTTAGTGAGGAGTTTTTCCCATCAGACCAGCCCTTTGAATGGTACGAGGAGATCTCTCCCATCACTGGAGGGAAAGCAGATGCCACTAATGACGCAGGACCCAGCATTTGAGCCAACAGATGCCAGTTCAAAGTTCACTGGCATCAAGGCACATCTGTCAACATGGGCTTTAAACTAGGTCCATAAAAAAATATTAGGCATCAAAGTGGTCAGAAGACAGATGGGGCCATTCTTGGGAATAATAATTGTCCCGAATGTGTTTGCCTGGAATCCTTTCCAGCCCAAGTTTGCGGAAAGGAGCCTGGCTTTACACATTTGTCAGAAGGTGGTGTGCAGTTCTGAGCATCTATAAGTGTATGTGCTAACACCTTCTCAAAAGCTGACACGTTCTACCAAATTTTATCTAAAATTATGAGAGGCAGAAAGAGAAGAAGCAAGAAAAATGTGATTGTTCCAAATTTCTAATTCTTCCTAAACTTCCACATCATAGCTTTGCAGCTCTTGGCTGCATACATTTGTGTTATAGCTTATATAGTATTTTWATCTCTATTACTACTATGATGTTTTTGCATATAGCATTCTCATTTATGCACCATTTTTACATTTTATGCTCTACATATTCCACAAGTAGTTTCAGGGTCAAACAGGAGAGGATATTTGGAGGAGGATAGATTTAAACAAGCTGAGCATTGTCACAATAGTCACAGCTCCCARCTCCTAGGCACAGGGGAGTGAGTTACACCCATGTGCTGATAAATACCCCATGTCCTCAAGAGGCCTATTAGTTTACACCCCAAGGTGTATTAGCCAAATATCTTTAAGCTACAACTATCTACAAACACTTCCATGAAACTCACTACCGTGTCCGGGCCACTTACTCAAACTTATATTTCTCAATAAATTATTCATTAGGATTTATTTTCCATAACTAAGTATCACACAAATTCCTGATAAATGCTAGTGAAATCTGACAGCTGAAAACATCTGTCCTCCCAAGCTTATATATCTTCATTTTCCTCCTTCAATTTGCCTTTATTTCTCAAAACTAACTCTGCCAAACAACTTGAGGATCAGGCTGCTTGATTGATGCTGTGCAAAATAAAGGTGTAGGGCACAGYAGATGCTCCAAGAGGATACAGAATGTACTTCCCAAGGCTGGAATTGCCTCAGTAAGATCACCAACTTTCTATGCCTAGGGCTAATGAATTTATCTTCTGAAATAAATGTATCTTTTGGACTCGGATCAATGCGGGCCTTAATTAAAACCATGTTTCTATATAAGCATCTAGCAAGAACACGTGAAGGCCCTATTTAAATTGGAAGAGAACGGTATAAACCTGTATGGCTTTTAAAACTAACTGCTTCCAGGTGCAAAGAGAATAGAAGTTTAGTGCTGTTTCCAACTTAATGCTTGGATGCCTTTGTTCTTGAAAGTGTAAGGTTTCCCTCATTCTCCATTTTATGGCTGCAGGTTTCTATGTTGCATAACACCCTATAACAGAGCACCAAAGGGCTTAGTTTTATTGTTGTGTTTCGTTTTATTGACTGCATGTTTTATTCAGCTAATATGTGCCATGGAGGCAGGCAGTAACATCTCAATTACAACACCAGCGCGCTTCCTTCTCCGCAAGCGACYGGCCTCACTCTGCACTTTATTATATTCACATGCAGATGTTAAACTGAAAGAAAAGGAGGGCTGAGGAAGCCAGAGCTGAAACAGGCCTCAAAGCACTGCAATTGGAAAGGCTTTTTTCCCAGGTAATCCTCTAAAGCRAAACACATTCCAGTATATGATATTTGTGCCGTGGCAAGCCACCAAGCACCAGCAAATATTACATAGAAACAGGTGTGAGAAAGTTCAAATCTAAAYAAAAACTCCTCCAGTTTTTGATCGGAGCTGGAGCTGGTATTTCGCTTTACTCATTTCTACTATTGTRCATCCCTGTTGGAGAGCCAGAGACTTTGGCAAGGCAACAAGTATACAAGCAAGAAACTGGCACTCACTACAGCTTATTCAATGTCCCAAATATTAAAGCTTGTTTTACTAAGAAGGGGAATGCTGGACAGGATGACATTAGGAGTCTTCATGGTTCCTTTTGTAATGCTATTGGCTTTTCTCACTGCCAGAAGGGCAAGGAAACAGCTCAAGTTGACATTAGAAACAGATAAAAATCTTGTCCTGTTAATCAAAGTATGCTGAGTTAGCTGGGGTGGGGGAAAGGAAGAAAAAAATGCATAATATCAAAAATTTCATTAATAAAAATGAATCAAGACAGTCCTTCATAGGGGGAACATGTAACTGAAATGAGCCAAAACAACTCCCTTATTTTATCTGAAGGATATCAACTTTGATAACACAGTACAGTCGTGTCAAATCTGCACAGAGGCCCAAATCCTGCTGATGGGCCAGAGAACTTAATGCATCATTTTCCATCCATTGACAGATCGATGCACAAGGATAAGTACCAGGAACTGGTCCGTATATGCCTGTGTGTGCGCCTGTATGTGCCTATATATGCCTGTATATTTAACTGGCAGAGCTGGGTGCCGACCACAGCAGGGAATGGCTTCTTCTCCAGCTGCCCGGAGGAAGCTGGAGCTGCTATGTCAGGAACAAATCACTCCTGTGAGGCAGGGACAGGAGTATCCTCTAGCTGCAGACATGGAAATAGTCTTTACAATGTTTCAGACACATCTATAAATACTTTATTTTAGCTGAAATGGTTATACTGCACTGTGAGCCCTCTGGAAAACAGTAATTTCATCTTGTGTTTATAATGAACTCAAATATTCAATATCTAGATAAGCTGAAGCAACTGCAAACAGTCAGATGTATTCATACTGATCCTGCAGGCCAGTGTGATGCTAAGAATGAATGATTTCTTTTCAGTTTCATATAAAGGAGAGCTTATTGCACAGACCTTCTCCTGTCTACAAAGGGCAAAAACCTGGCTCAGATTTCTCCCATACTCTGATTTTAGTATACATCATTCTTAACCTATATCAGCCCTCCTTGTCATTTTTTTTCAAAGCATTAAGATTATTGTAAGTGCAATGATCTGTTTGAGTTCATTCTCAGCAGCAAACTTACCCAACCAAGTCCAAAAGCCAATACATATCCCAAATACCGGACACTTCAGGCTTGTTGCTCCACTTGATCCAGGTAACACATCTGCAGGGGAAAGCTTTGCAGCCCAGGCCTGCCAAAATAGGGTCTATTTTAGCACCCACAGGGTGCTAAATGGCCCATGTTTCTGGGCTGACCCCTTGCAGGAATTGTGTCTCCCATGGCAGTCTGCTCCTAGCACACCAGCCCAGCAAGCCAAGGGTTGATGCTTAAGCCTTAGCTGAAGCCCAATGGGAAATTTTTGGAACTTGTGCAATAGTTGGGTTCTGGTGTGTGATACTGGACTTGAGAAATTTTCCACATGACCTTCCAGTCCCAATCTGTTAATTCATCTGAAGGGCYTGGGCCCCTGCCTGGGCTCTTCAAGGGTGGCTCTCCCATTATGACAGTTTCTGCCAAGTCCAAGAGCCCTTCTGCTCCACAAACCTTTGGGGCTAACATCAACACCACATTGCTCAAAGCAAACACTTAACTTCAGGTGCAGAAGCCTCACTCCRGAAGGAGCAATCCAAGTTTTCTAGTAGCAAGCAGAAAGCAATTCCTCACTTGAAACATGGGATTAGAATGCCACTCCAATGAGGAGGGACAGAGATCTCCTGGAATTCAGGGATCAAGAGCCTGCAGTTAAAGCAGATTCATGAAAAAACTTCCCAGAAGTTTTCARGTTTTCTAAATACCAAGAATGTTGCCCTGTAGAAGATGGCAATCAAATTGAGCTCCCAGTGTCATATGAGCCTTTGGTGCAAGGCTTCACAGTGTAATACCAGCCTTTCTTCTTAAGTTTTACTACATTCAGTAATCAGTCCCCTAACAACCATTATCTTAAATAAAAAAATCTGGGCTTACCACTGATTTAGTGATGTGTTAACTGCGAGATATCAGTGGTTGCCTTTTTGTATTGTATTTTAGATGAAATTGGGCACATTTACTGAAATGAACAATATTTGACATGGGACAGTTCCTTCCTCTGCCAAACACAGGCACCTAGGCCAGATTTACCAGCATCATTTCCCCAGCCTGAACTTATCAAGGTCATTCCCCTGTCCATTGCCAGGGGAAGCCAAGGAGCATTTCAATCCCAGGGCAGGCTCAGCTCCAACCCAGGGCAGCCAGGAGCTTCCAAAAATGGCAATGATCAGGCTCTGTAGAGGAATCCTGAAACCCACCCAAAAGTAGGATTTCAGTCTCCGGGGCTGTTGATTCAGCATGTATCATGAGCAATAAATTCACTCAGAAGAGCTTTTAGAAGTCAGCGTTTGTTTGGTCTTTGACAGCTTGCTCTGAACCAGGAGTTAGAAGTCAAAGACTGAAGAGTAAACATACTTCTTCCCTCAAGCACCCAGCTTCTCCTGCCAAACTATATTAAAATAGTCAATATCTTCAATATA